TTACTGCAAAAGGTCCGCTGCGTAAACCCCGCTGTGCAGCTCCCTGCTCACGCGTGAGGGTTTAGGGGTTTAGGGTTTAGGATTTAGGGGTGTGAATCGGATGCAGCCACGTTCGACGGTTGGCTTCTGAATCTCTATCTCATGCTCTGCCCTACCCTACTCTACTTTACCCTACTCTACTAGACGAGTGTACAATGTAACTATGCTGCAACATATCAGGCGATAACATGAAGCAAATGATCTTTCATGATGCTTCGTCCTGCTATACGATATTAGATTGCATCGGACAGATCTCTCTCAGGCGGGCACGAACTCAGTTTCTGTGAGAACGGAGCGCAGCTTGCGCTTGGCAGCCGCCAGGGTCTTGGACGAGCAAGATCGATGCAACGCGAGATGATCTAGCATGATACAGTACAGTGTGTAAAGAAACACTTGTACGTACATCAAGAATTATGTTGGTCCTGCACAGAAAATTCTGTCCTCTGCTGCTGTGGCTGCAGTAAGCTGAGCGCATCACTCTCGTGGAGACGTCAAGGGCGACGAGCTGGGCAGCAAAGGTGGAGCACATGACATTCCGACATTGTCCGACGCTGCTAGGTCGCTGCCCAGCTCCCACTACTCAAACTTGCTAGCAAGGCCTCCGATGTACCTTCCAGCTCCGTGCTGCGAAGCTCAACGGCCACCTGATGGCCTCGAGTAAAGGAGGCGCTGACACGCGGTATTGATCAGAAAACGAGACTGGAAGATACCACTACCATCTGCCTGAGCCACAGCCAGCGACAAGGATGCGACTGCAGGAAACCTGGCACAAAAGCCACTGTGGAGGTGCTAGGCAACTGAACTTGCATGGACCTGTAGCAGCAAGGGCTTAGCCCAGGCTTCCTCGCTGGGGCTGCAGTGGTGCGTGACAGTGTGTGCCCGGTGTTAAGATGGCCAGGTGAGCACACGTCCGACCCTCGGCTTCGTGCAACCTCCACGTGCCCTACACCGGCAAGCGCCTGCTCGGGAGTCCACACAGGAGAGATGTACTTTAAGCGCACGTCGAGAGGTACCTGCATACACCGCTCTGCTTGTGTTCGTCATCGTTGCTCTGAAACCTCCGAGTGCCGGGCAGGGATCACACCCACGCTCTCCACTGCAGAGTGCCACGGAGGATACCTCACTCGTGAGATGCTACAGTAGTCCCTTTGTTAGAAGCCCCTCCTCTGTTGGCAAACCGAGGCCGCAGCAAAGTGCAGTCCTCAGGGCGTACCGACTCTGGTAAACTACACCCATCTTAAACTTTAAATGTATACCAACAAATACTTCAGTGTTATTGTTACAAAATAAACAAAGCAACAACAATAATGATAGAAACCCTCATCATCATCATCATCGTACTAAAGTTCAATATGGTCGTCACCTAACAAAAACAAATGCTTAAGCCATCTTCTTCAATAAGGACGATGATGAAAACGACTAAGATGAGAATAGTAAGAATACTGGTAGTGATGCTGACACGGACACGTTTTCAAGAAAATGCCAAAAATCAATAGCAGAAGCGATACCAAGAACACTAACCGAAGCAATGATCATAGCAATCGGTACAAAGAACGACATCTAAGATCCGGAATTGATCTTTGTGCCGCGTGGCGTAGAAGTTTCGGCACGGAGAGGCCACCAAGTCGTGCTCGGACAGGTACTCCAGGGTCTGGCAATGGCACATGAAAAAAGGCTGCTTTCAGTCTGCCTGGAAGGGGCTTTCAGGTTTTTCGGCTTTTCGGTGGGTTTAAGGGCTGTAAACTCTAGGGCTCTGGGGTTTTATGTTTCAGGATGTCGGGTTTGCATGCAGGGGATTGTTGTTGTCGGGAGTCTCGGTTCCAACTGCATAGATCTACGCAGGCTTTAGTGTTTGGTGCTTAGGGAAGGCCTTGATCAAAGCTTCCTCCTCCTTCGGCTGCTTGCAGGTCCTGAAGGTACACCGAAGTGGATGGCAAAGCACGCGCACAGAACTACGACAGCCTGCAAATGAGCTCGGCCAGCTCTGGGATGCAGTCCATGGCCTGACACGGAACCCCGTGGCAAAAAGGGTGGAGAAGGCGCAAGTCGGAATATCAGACCGAGGGGCAAGAGATGCGCCGCTTCTCTGTCTGTAGCTACCCGATCAATGATGACAAATGCTGCTAGTATTCACTCAGCTACCTCTGTTGTCCGAAATGCTACGCATTATAAGAACTCGAGGGCAAACAGTCTGCGCACACTCTACATAGGCCGACGTGTTAGGCCATGCTCAACTACCATCAACTGTCTTCCCCGGGCTGCTTATGCATCAAGAGGTTGCCGCGGAGCGACCTCCAGCTGAGCGGATGCATCTTGACAAGGCACCTTCAAGGAGCTGCGCAGACGGAAAAAAATCGAGAAACTCCAAACCTTTGACAGCCTCGTACATTGCGGACACCAGCCAGTCAGTAAACGCGCCCTGGGAGGGACACGGCGAGCGAAAATTCGCATACCATCTGCACTGTGGCCCAGGCGTCAGGCATGCTGCCTGTGAATGTGTAGCGCAGTTGACATCATGACATGTACATACATGGCGGTAGTTTTGCAGCGGCCTTCCGGCTCCTCGTCGTTCTCATGCAGGGGAATGCAGTAGCCTGTGAAATGGCAATGGCCTGCAAGCAGCAGCCGCTCAGCACCCTACTCTTGCATGCTGGTCACAACTGACCTAGAATTAGCTGCTGCCAAACCACAAGCAACAGCAGCTGCGCTGGCCAGCAGCTCGTTCGAGGGCGGGCGAAGAGAGGTCTGGTGGACGGAAGCAACAGCATCACAAACCACTCGAGAGTCCGCTTCCCGAAAGGTTCGCCACGAGTTGCAAGACTCCCCCTCTGCCTCGTTGAATGCTTCTCGCAATTCAAGGCGCCAGCCACGCACCGCGCTTTCCAATCCGGGCTGGCAAAAGGCCTCGGAAGGTCTGAGCCCGGCCCCACCGGAATCTCTGGGCACAGTCGTCTCGGCCCCCGGCACGTGAATCCATCAACAGGGTCCGGATACCTACATGCAATCAAGCACTCAAGCCGCAGGGCACTCTGACTCTGCCAAGCCTGGTGGAAGCTGGACGCCATGCAAGGAAGGCAGCCGTTGAGGCAGGAAGGGTGCTGGCATCAGCAGCCGCCTTGTAGCATCGGGGCGACATTGCGGAGCTCTCTGCACTTCGATCATTTTGCAGCTCCTCGATAAACTTTCCACCGCACCAGCGCCAGAGCAGCGAAGGAAGCAGCCGAGCATCTCGATGAACTCCAGGGGCGTTTCCTCCGACAGGTACGAGACATTACACAGTATGATGTCATGTTATGTTATGGCATCATATAGTATGCCGTAGTCTAATTATCATGATACAATATGAAAGGAATGCCATAGTATGCTATAGTATTCTGTAACGAACTACGCCATACTCTATTCTGTTGCAGCATACCGTACTAAAGCACAAGGTGCATATACACACCTACAGATGCACGTCCTTGCCTACTCGTCTCTTCTCGGCTCCTCCCTCCGAGGTCCCTGCATCTCCCAAGCAGCCTTCCAGTCGGCCCGGAGCCGCGGCAGAGCTAAGGTCGTCCAGAAGGTGCAGCACCTGACAGAGGCTCTTTAAGATCTCCAGCCACCACAGCGCCGGAAGAAGAGGGTCTCCTTTCCAGTTTGTCGAAGAGGGATTGGTATGATTTGGGCTTGCTTTGGTCTAGGATGTCCAGGGGGGGGAGGGTGTCTTGGCTTTGTATAGGCCGTTTTTCGTGCAGCTCCGCAGTTGCCTGGCAGGCCCGGCGCTCCCAGCTGCTCTCAGCGCAGGCTGACTCCTGCTCTCACCAGGAAGGATCTATAGAGCTCTTTGCAGTAGCTGGCTGTTCCATGAATCCCATGAAAAACAAGGGCGCCTTCACGTGATGCAGGGCTCGCAGCGCTGCATTGAGGGCTTCAGTTTCCAGCTCCGCAAGCTCCTCCTCTTTGCGACGGAAACTTCCGAGCTCAATCCGGATCATCCTGTCGCAGATACCGCCGGAACCTTCCCGTCGCGACGCTCCCTCGCCAGGCGCTCTGCCAGGCATCGCGCTAAGCCTTCAAGCTCTTCTTCAAAAACGGGATGGCTTGGGTTGATTATTTGCAGACTTGTTTACAGTAGCTCAGGAGCATCATCGCGAGCTTCTCAGCCGATGGCCAAAGTCATCCTTCGAGATGCAGTATTGAGTCTCGGCCAGCGCCTTGCGAGCAAGACGTGCAGCGGCGAAGTCAACTGCGGGCATTTCTGCGGCACAAAGCTTCCACGGTCTGCAACTGTTTTCCTTCAATGGTGCCAATGCTAATGAGCCTGGGACCAATGAAGCGTGGACCAGTCTGGAGGCTAGAGCCGAGGCATGAAGCAGAACATGTTGCTTCGCCTCCTCTACATGGAAGTGCAGAACAAGCCAACAACAGGGGGGAAAAAAACTGTCGTCAGCAGTTGCATTGATACTCAATATCGCTGAGGAATGCTGCAAAACATCCTTGCAGCTAGACATCCGAAACACATCTTTGTCAACACCGCACCACCCAATGCCCACACAGACAAACCCCAATGAGGGAGCTGCAAAGAAAAGGCTCTTCGCTTCGATTCCTTTTTTTCAGCACGATCAAAACGGCAGATGCAGACCCTCACGGCAAAAAGACGAGTGGGCGAAGAACCCATCCCTGTTAAAGTGCAGTTCTGAGACCGGTGCATAGTGCCGAAACAATGCCAGGTAGTCACCTCAGTCGCCATCCCGACAAGGCATGGGCCATGGGGCTTGCACCAATTGGAGGGGTTGCCTGCACAAGAGATGATCTCAAGCTGGTCACCGTCGCTCGTGATGTCGATGCTGAAGGAGAGCTCCTCGGCCTCGCCTAGCGCATACAACACACGCATGCGCGACGCAGCACCACGCAGCAGCTCGGCATGGGCACCTGCTATGGCATCGTCCAAGGCTCCGAGAGCACCGGCACCCAAGCCGACGGCATGGCAGCGGGAGCGCACCTCGCGCAGCTCCGCAAGGCTCAGGTCCTTGGTAGTCACGGGCTGTCGAAGCAGCCAGGCAGCCAGTCACTATCTGTCACTATCTTCCCCACTTCTCAACATGTTGGATCGAAGCACCAACTCACCGTAGGAAAGCTGCGATGCGAGGTGGGCCTGCACTGCAGCATCGTAACATGTGACAACGGGCATCAAGAGAGCGCAGCGCACAGCTTGCCTCCAGTTCTGTGAAATGGACGTCAAGCTGATGTGCCTCTAAAAGTTCTGGCAAGGTTCCGGGCACGTGGGCTCTGCGCAGCACTATCATCACAATTCATCACATCGAGCAGCCAGGAAGCCTCATCATCATCCATCGTGCAGCCAGGCTGGTAGCACCGATCGCATGATGGACTCGGAAATGCTCGCCGCTGGGTTTCTTCGTGACTTCACAGGGAACCCTGTCTGACACTGCTAGATGTTCAAATCTGCCTCACGGAGCCGTTCCAAACAAAGGGATGAACCCGATGAACCCTTGTGTCAGATGCATGCACTGCCTCTGAAAAGCCAAAAATGCTAAGCCATCGCATTCAAGACGAATCCAAATGGGCCGAGTTGGTGTTCAACGCATGGTCTGGCTTCTGCGATCCTCTTGTTCGAAGGTCACTCGGTAAGTGAAACATGCAACCTTCGGGCCCTTCAAAAGATGACAGCTGGCTTAGCAATGCGCTTGCTGTGGCTTCTTTGCATGCGTTCCCGATGGCTGCAATCTACTGAGAGCTAGGAGGATGCATCTTCCTTCTTCTCAGAGATGAACGCCCGGATATTCACAAGGGTAGGCCTCAGAGCCCGAATCAAGCTACTAGATGGCGTAGCGCGGTCTTGTCGGTCCACTCCGTTCTGCAGGGGGCCTTCGCCATTCGTTGCTTCGTTCCGGCTTGATGCCTCGAGAACTCGGGTGCTCTACGGCGATCACTTAGTGACTTGAGGGAGTGAGGAGCAGACCGTCGATTCCGACGATCCACCCGGTCTCCTGGCAGAGCAATGCTCATTGTGGCGATACCCACGATGATTGACATGCCAGGCAGGTTACGGCTACCTTAATCCCAGCCCCAACTGCTTCGATCCAAGGATGCTTTCACCAAGGGTAAAGCCATGAGCCCTGATGCTGAGTCGCGCATGCATGGGAAGGGCTGGCTACCGGCTCCTCCTTGGTCTTCTTCTTCTCTTTCTTCCTCGCCGGCGCTGGCGAGACGTCCTGTCGAATCGCCCTGTGTCATGGCTCTGCAACATCCCACATACATCTCTGTGTGAGGTACCTCCTCGGTAAAGCCCAGCCGCTCCATGGGCTCCTTCGTCATTAGGTTCTTGTCCATGCGACACTGCAAGTACCTGCGGATTGAAACCCAAGAGGCCAAGGCCAGCTGCTGAGGTTTCCTGGCTCTTGCTTGCGCACCGCTTGGAGAGATACCGGCACGACATGTTGTCGTGGCTGTGCTGCTTCAGGCACTGAAGGTACTCCTCCTGTCGCCACGGTCCCAAGACATTCCTAGGCCCTCTTTGGCATCTCAGCCCCCATGGCTTCATGTTCCTAAACGCTAAACCATGAACCCGGCACTCTGTGAATCCTTGAGCTTCGAGCACTCGCTGAAGTGGTCCAGTGGGAAGGACCCCTGCAGTGGAGTCGGAGCAAAACTTGCGGTGAAGCGAACTTCGGCTGGCCTTGTCGGGAGGTCGCCCGGGCATTATCCGCTTTCCCATGGACACCTGGCGAAAACTTAGCATTTCGCATCCCCATTCCCGAAGCCAATATATATATATATATATATATAGTTGTATCGCCACCGGGCTCTGCCAACTTCATAAGCCGACTGAGGTCTGAAACTTTTCCGGCGCAAACCCATGTGTCGGCTGCGAACCGAAGCTCCAGCTTCACAGCTGAGGCGAGGCAGAAGATGCCTTCCATCTACAGAAGGACTATGTATGCCTTGTGCATGACGCCGCGAGGATCGAGACACTGCAGACCTTGCTGTTGGTCTTTCGCGACTAGTTGAAATGTGGACCCATCTGAGATCAGCAAGGCCAGCAGTCCGAGAGGCCTGGCAAGAACTAGTCATCAAAGCACGTAGGGGTTTAGAGTGTAGGGTTTAGGGTGTAGGGTTTAGGATTTAGGGTGTAGGGTTTAGGGTTTAGGGCCGCAAGGCACAATGACACTTCAGCGCAGCGCCTGTGGTTGGCTTCGACGTGCCTTGGCTGGGGCGGAAACCTTGGCTGAGTTTCTGCACAGGGGGGCCCAGGTTGCTCATCTCCCCATGGCTTAAGGGTTTCGGGTGTAGGGTTTAGGGGTTTAGGGGTTTAGGAGTTTTGGGGTTTAGGGGTTTAGGGGTTTAGGGGTTTAGGGTTTAGGGTTTAGGGGTTTAGGGTTTAGGGTTTGCCTTTACTATGGCCAAAGGAAGCATGGAAATACTGCTGTAGGGCTCCGGGAGGAAAGGGGGGTATTTCAGATAGCCAAGGAGCTAAGATCCAGAATTGGTGCTCCATACGGCCGGCGGCGGGATGCGTTTAGCCTGGCAAATGTGTGCAAAAGCCGCTGCTTCGCAAGTTGGCCTTGCTATCTGATGCTTGGGGGGGTCTGAGCTTCGGACAGAAAGGGAATGCACAGCAGCAGGGCGGCAATCGCGAGCCTGTTGGCGAAGAGAGCCCACTCTACTGAGTTCTACGGCTACTCGAGTGACAGCGCCACGGTCCCCAGTGCCACAAAACACATGTTCAAAAGCGGTCACGTGTCTTCCGAGCAGCAAGTCGCAGACCACTGCCCAAGCAATCTTTGGCACACCCCAGATGTAATCCTCAGAAGGAAAGCCGGCAATCTTTCCGAGTGCCACGGCACACAGACTTTTTTGGCTTGAAAGCCGAGTGGCGCAGGTGGGCAGGGTCAGTGTTCGAGGCACATGCGACAGCGCGGCGCCAGCAGTGGAGTTGCTCTTCACCGACAGCACCGAGCTGACATTGGCTTTGCTTGCATTCAGCAGTGTGGCGTTAGAGCTGCCCAGCGCAGTGGGGCTTTCTGCGGCCTGCAGGCTGAGTCGAGGGGAGGGGGGCAGCTGGCAGGGGCAGGTCCGAAAAGAAGGTACGATGCGTTTTGGGCCCAGCCGATCTTCGAGTCCATCGGAATCCCAATGGAGCGCTCCATTGTCCGTACTGCAGAGACTGCACTGGCTACGACTCCGACTACGAGTAGCTGTGACAGCATGCTGAACTGCGGCTCTGAAACGTCAGAGCGCCATGAATTACATGGTGCTCTCGATTCAAGGCACAACCCTGCCACTGCATAGCAGCCTGACAGGGTCTAGAACTAAATCACTGGCAGCTGCCTTGGGCACCCTGCCATAGCCATAAAAACCCTTGAAAGCCCGTAAACATTCAGAACCTACTTCCCCGTATGATTGCCCTAAAACCCAAGCCCCAACACAAGTTCATGTTAAGGGCTCCCACTGGAGATCGCTCCGTCTCCTTTCACCAGCGCCGAGAGCAAAGAGCACAAATCGGGGGACTCGTCTTTCAGGTCCACGACCACTGGGCGAGGCTCCAACTTCTCTTTCAACTTCGGCCTCAGGTAGTCCTCCCACCTCCTGGAGCCCTTCTTATAGATCTTGATCCGTCCCTTCGGTGGGCTCGCTTTCCTACAAGGGATCATCTCCATGAAGCACGCAATCCGTGTGAGGCATTGCTATTCTCAAGATTCTACGAGTCGAAACCCATAATGGCATGCAATAATACATGACAGTATACTACCGCATTTTCGCACAATGCTGATTGTAATTCTGCGTGCTTTTGGAAACTACAGCCCTGCAACGTATGTTTGACCTTCGGTCCTGCTTTCCGGTGGTGGCCGGGGTATTGCAGGTGCTGGGCGCTGCAGAGCCCCGGCACAAAGCTCCATGGGCCAACCCAAAGCCTGGTTAGGGTTTAAACTACAGTGGTGGAGTTTAGAGTTTTTGAGGTTTAGGGTTTAGGTTTTAGAGTTGTTGATTAGGTTTCAGGGCTTAGGGTTTCTACCAGCAAGAAAGCCTCAACTACCCGGACACAGCGCTGTTTGCCTGCCTTGGCCTGTGCCAGCCACAACTGCTCTCCGTAGCACCGGCCGAACCTGAGCCGAAGCAAGATCGACTCCTGATGTCCGTATGACAAACAAACTCTCACTCTTCGTGGTTGCCCCAACTTTGCGCGAAGCCACGTGATTCGGGCGTAAACGGCGGATTGCTCCACTTCAGGCGTGAGTGGCGGTCTGTGCACAGCTGGTGACGGGCATCCCTAGCATGCACTTCTGCCAGACTCCTGTGCAAACCGGACCTGGCCTGTGCGTATCGGGATGTTGTTGCGCAAATATCAGGGCAGCCTCTTCCTGCGCACGGCGGGGGTTGTACTTTTATCCATTTGCCCAGACTTCCAACTTGCGCGGACACGGTCCTTCTTCAAGAACGCTCTCCATGTCTGGGTGGCACACTCCGCAGCCCAGAATGCGTGAGACGAACTAGCTGGCGCGGTCTCTTCGAGCTGCTGGCAGATCCAGCGGCTGTCGCGAGCACTGTTGCTAGGGACTCCGACCTTTACCCAGAGACGGGCCGACTCTGCTGCAACAGAGAGGAAGGAAGTGCAAAGTAGATGCTGCAGCTGCTCTGCATAAACCTCAGACTTCATAGACGCCGTTCCCACTCTGAGCTGAAAAAAGGTGTGCCATCGATCGTATCGTCAGAACCAAGATGCATCTACACGTCCTGGTCCTGCATAGTTGACAGGTTTTCCAGACTCTTGTCCTTGCCGGCGCGCAATGTTTTGTCGCATCTCCTGTGGAAACGGTTCTGTCGGCAAAAACCCTCAATTCTCCAAACCCAAAATCCTAAAACCCCTGAAACCCAAAATCCCCCGAAAACCTAAGATCACCAAATTGTCAAGTACCTGCTTTCAACCCTGCAGCCCTAACCCCAAAAAATCAGCACAAAAAGGAACGGCCCAAGCAAAACCATGAACCTACAAGATTAGAATAAGGCTTTGATGAACAATCATCGTAAAATGATGCGGGGACCATAAGCCCCACAGCTTAAAGCCCAGACTCTAAACCATAAAACCTGAACCCTGAGCTGCCCTAAACCCTCAAACCTTAAAACCTGAACTACAACCTAAGCTCCCAAAACGAAACCCAGAACCCCAACCCTAAACCCTTAACCCGAAATTCTAAACCCGAAACCCTAAACCCGACACCCGAAACCCTAAACCCCCAGGCCCGAAGGTTGCCTGCCTCCTGCTCCTTAACGCGCAGCTCGCGAAGCGCCTGTCTCAAGGATTCGGAGTCCCCGCCTAAGAGGAAATCAGGGTTTACGGGACTCAGGGTTCAGGTTTTGGGGTGTAGGTACAGGTTTTCGAGCTTAGGGTTCAGGGGTTTAGGGTTTAGGGAATCAGGTTTTAGGATCTAGGTTTCAAGTCTCGGGGGCCTCTTAGAGTCCTTCGGGGCTCTAGGGCCGAAGGGGTTCTTCGGATTCTTGAATGCGTGTCCTCGTCTTTCCGGGTGGTTTATGCTTTGGACTTGTTGTCCTGCTTTGGGCGGTTAAGATGTTTAGGGTCTTTGCTGTTCACGACAGCTTCGGGCTTGGGGCTGTGAGGCTTTGCAGTTTAGGCCCCCCACTTTCTTTGCCTCGTGGTCGTCGGTCCAACATCGCTCGAAATGGGGTGGTCCCCGGCTCATCCGGTTCTCACAGGGGAGGCTTTGGCCAAGCCCTTCTGATCACTGCACCGCAGTGCTGTACAACTCAAGTGTGCCTCCAGCTTTCTGCCAGCGAGAGACGAAAAACGGACCACCGTCTCTTCAAGAGCCCTCGCGTGCTCGAGCTCGGCGTGCCAGCGCTGCCGATCAGCACCCATGCAGCGAGCTGCACAGAGCCTCTTGGCAGCGCCATCTGCTTGTTCGTTGAGTCGCCTGCACATGTCAGCATCCAGCTGCATAGTAAGCGGTAACTAGCAGGTATCCCGTCTCGCCCTTGCCATGAGCCGGCACCCAGATCAAGTGAACAGAGGTTCCTCGAATCCGAATGGACTTCAAAGCAGTCATGGCTACTGCTTTCAGAGCCGCTTCGCAGTCGACCAATACCACAAGTCTTGTCGGGAGGCGGCTCAAGTCCGCCACGCTTGTCAGGAGGTCACTGAGGGCGAGCAGTTCCATGCGAAAGGGCGCCTGGTCCTCGCTCTCATCGGTGCGGCTTCTCAGACACGATTGCGTACGACCCCACACCATGCTGCGAGCTGCCGTCTGTAGCCAGGAGAAGCTGCTGAGAGGGCTGGCAAAGATGCCGAGCTGCTCGGTGGCACCACTGGCAGGGGCAGGTGTTCGCGTGTTGGTGCGCCACATCAGCAACCCGGTTCGTCGGCTGCGGGACAGTCACTGTTGAGGGGCCGGGCACGTCCACAACAGGTGGGCTCGGCTTGGCCAGCGTAGGCCACACATGCACTGAACCCAGGGAGCTGCAGTCTCTTAGCAAGGAACCAGGAGTTGCACGCAGTGGCCAGGGGAGGCTTGACGCTCGGAGGCGCACCGCCCCTTTGTGAACGGTTTTGTGGCCTTCAAGAACCTGCTGCTGGGGCGGGGGCGAGGAAGGTCTAAACCTACAGCTTCGTTTGGATCATGTCTGTGGAGCGATCTGGCAATTCGCCCAAATGATTCTGTCGCTTGCAACTTATGCCACTCAGTGAGCCATCTGTGCAAGACCCTCGGGGAATCAATGCCAATGCGGTAGACACGAGTTCGTCCCGCATCGTCTGCGGTCATGACAGTTTAGGCTCCATGCTAGGCGCTGCACAGTCTGGTTGGCGGCCGGGATGCCGTTGCATCGAGCCGCACGGAGTTCGGCCAAGGAGAGGTTATGAGGAGCCTCAGTCACCGGCGTTAGGGTGAGTTCAAGGGCACGGATTGCCGACCAGTCAGCAAGCCAGTGCACATCTAGCTCCCAACCTAAGACCTGGCCTATGAGAAGCCCTGATGTCATGTGTCCTGGCTTGACTCTCACTGCAAGCCTGCTGCTCACACTCGCTGTCACTCGGCTTCTGGGTCAGGAGTCCGGCACGCACACGCCTGGCACACCCAGCGCTCGCTTGCTGTTCTTCTCACCTTGAGGTGTGGCTTCCAGCGCTTCGGGCGAGCACGCCAAGCCTTTCTAGGACCACGGATCCATTTAGCCGCAAAAGCACAGCCTCTGTTGCCGATGTCTCGGTCGCTGTCTTTCTCTGCAGTTGCTGGCTCGGTAGCAAGACTTGGTAACATCTCGGTTTGGGCAGGGGGCGCTACACCTGTCACAATCCCGATCGTCTGGCTGTCGCCCTTGCACGATGCAATCGGAGATTCCAAGCTTCGGCTTTCGTCCCACTCCGAAGTCGGTTGACACTCTCGCTCGAGGACCAACTCTTCTTCGACGGTGTCCCGCTTTTGGGGCACTCCTTCCGGGCAGCTACTCACAGCTGCATTCTGGTTCAGGCATGTCGATCGATGGGAACCGTCATCAACAAGCTCAGTCGCGCCTGAAGAACCCAAACAGGCACGGGATTCATTGCGCATGCTAACTTCCTACGCGTCGCACATGCTCGCTGTAAGCTCTGCCCTAAGGCGATCTTTGGTCTGCATATTTCCCCAAACCAAATAACCAATCACCTGATCAAAGGGAGAGTGCCACCTGCCAGCGTTTCGAATTGTGAAAGCGAGAGAGATCTCGGAAGCCCGGCGAAGGTGACATGGCTGGACGAACCGACTAATCCTTTTGTACTGGCTACAACTAGCCAGTCCAGGTGGGACCGCTTGGAGGCGATCAGTCTTGGGCCCACCTTGAGCCAAAATGGCCGCCTGTCGCAAGGATTCGGAGTCCCGGCTAAGGGGAAGTCAGGGTTTAGGGGGCTTAGGGTTCGGGGTTTAGGGGTGTAGATTTAGGTTTTGGGGTGTAGGTTTAGGGTTTAGGGGTTTAGGGTTTAAGGAATCAGGGGTTTAAGCTCGGGGGCCTCTTAGAGTTCTTATAGGGGCTCTAGGGCTTTAAGGGCTTTGTCGGATTCTTGAATGTGTGGCCTCGTGCGCGCTTTCCGGGTGGTTTATGCTTTGGACTTGATTTCGTGCTTTGGGCGGTTAAGATGTTCTGGGCTTTTGCTGTTCACGACAGCTTCGGGCTTGGGGCTAGGGTTTAGGGTTTAGGCTCCCCCACTTTCTTTGCCTCGTGGTCGGCGGTCCAGCATCGCTCGAAGAGTTCATCGCTTGCTGCAACTAAGCTGAGGTCCTGCCAAGACATCGAGGCATTGGGGCGTGGAGTTCCCAAGGCTCGTAGTAACAACCTAAACCCCTGATTCCCTAAACCCTACACCCTAAAAACCCCCAACCCCTAAACCCTAAACCCCTGATTCCCTAAACCCCTAGACCCTAGACCCTAAACCCTAAACCCCTAAACCCTGGACCCTGAACCCTAAACCCCTGAACCCCTGATTCCCCAAACCCTAGTCTGCCAAGCCAATGAGCTGCACCCCATCTCTTCACTCCCTCGAACATTGGAGGGGGAAGGAGGAGGTGGTAGGGGAACCTGTTACCAATCCCGGCGATTCTGCAGCGGAATTCGGACTGTTGCGAGCGATGCTTGGGCGATGCATCTTAAGAGCAAGCATTCATCTCACCAATGTTTCTTGAAAACGATCACTCCAAGTTATCTCCCCACACGACCAACCCTGTAGCACAAGGGTAGACGCTCCGCCTCGTCCAAAGTCTTGCCATTCCTCTTGATTGCCAATGACACGTCGTACTCTATCCTGAGCCGTGGCGATGACTACCATTACTCCTCCAGCCTACCAGTCAATGTAGTCAAAGCAGAGAGCCACCCTCAAGCAGCTCTTCTGTTTCCCTTGGCCCCAGCTTTGGCCCAGCAGCTCTCGATAGAGGAAGGACCAAGAGCCCGCCCATGCCTCGAGGGCTTCACGGTCACGTCGACGAGGGGCCTCAGCTCTCCACAAGGCTTCGCTCTACGAACTGCGTGGATACAGGGAGGAGTCCACCTCATGATCCTCGCAGATCATCGCCACGAAGCTGACTACCGATCGGCACCCCGCATCTAGTAACGAGCTCGGACAAGGCACCCGGCTGAGCTTCTTGATCTTGTCCATGAACTCTTGTGCCTTTGAGTCCGGCAGAAAGGCCTTCTCCAGGATGCACCGCGCACAGGTGCAGGAGAAGTTGTACTCACCTTGTTTCGCGACCGAAAACCCAAAGATACAGAGCGTGAGTCCTCTATATATATATATATATATATAGATAGATAGAGATAGATAGATAGATAGAGATATAGCCCCCAAAGCCCCATTGAGAAAGGCGAGCAGCTTTGGAGCTCTCGCTGACGGAGCATGGCCGGACGGTCTACGCGGACAAAGTTGCAGCAGATCTCGTCGCCCATCTGCCGTTGCAGCTCAAAGGTGTTTATGGTCGGGTTTTGTTGTGAAATTAGGGGCACCTTGCAAAAGGCTCCTTACATCAGGGATCCCACAATTGAATGCCTCCGTTGGATCTTGGGAATCCTGCTTGGAAGACCCTCACAGGCTCAGATGCTCGCAGCCGATGCGAGCAAGGCATTGCCGAAGCGGTGATTTGGCATAGCGGGAAGGGGTTCACCAACCACGTTCGACGCGCAACATAATAATTACCCCCAAACCCTATTCTAATTATTTAGGCCCCTATAGTATCCTTATTCCACTTAGGTGCCAAGAGGAACGCGTCCGAGGCCTCCAGGTCTCGCGCGGCGCGGCAGATCAGAACATCGCCGACGAAAGTGAAGTTTGCGTTCGGCCTGACAAGGGCACTCAAGGGTTTAGGGTTTAGG